TCGAGTGTGGGGTAAGGGTGGTCGGACAAGCTCCCAGCTCCCCCCTCAAGGCTCAAGCCCCGAGGGCCCTGAGTAAATAATAAGACGAATCCGTTATTGATGATGGGGGGTATGTATCTCTGCGATTGAGATTGAGAGGCCGTTTGGTATCCGCAAGCTTGCGGTCTTTTGCTTGGGGTCTAACATGCAAATATTCAGTACCCTTTGCTATACTAAGCTTTCACTCGGGGAAAGTTTATCGCTCTGAGGATATTCGCCCGGTATGAGGATGGATCTTTTATTTCTCCTCGGTCGCAAGAAGCGATATTGCAAAGAGGTGTCGGTATTGGGAGGCTTCAAGCGATTATACCCGGATACGTAACGACTGCCACCCAGGCAATCCGTATCCGTACACTACGAGACTGGACTGGATGGAAACCTTTGCTGGGCGGCCTCTGTCTGTATGGACTTTCTTAGTGGGATTTTCCTTCGCTCACAACCATGGAGATACCCGTGGCAACCGTCACGATGCAGGTCTCGTCACATTTCTCGCATCCACCCATTTTAGCCGGAGGAGGAGCCTAGGAGAAGGAGGAGCCCTGGACTCTCTCTCTCTCTTTCTTGTCTGCCAAAGTCCGGAGCTGGGTTTGGAACGCTCTTGGTATCCACAACTCACGCCATGCCGCGCCGCCGGTGTGACCGCGAGGGGCAGTAGCCACGGCCACGGATGCAGAGCAACCCCTTCCACGGTTCCCAACCCCTGCACTCCTCGCGATGCCCCGTTGGGATACTGCAACAGTCAAGTGCGAACCGGTCCAGGCGAATTGGGAACGAGCGGTTCAGGGCCTTGTTCACGAGGTGGAAACGGAAAGAGGTAGGAGGCCGAAAAAAGAAGAATATCAGGCTGCAGGCCCGCCACCAACTCATATTCTGCAGTTACGATGACTTGTGTCAGTTTTTTTTTTGTTCCAGATGCAGATGCAGATGCAGTTCAGATGCGGGAAGGGGTCTACGGATACAAAGATCGGGCCGGGCCAATACCTACGAAAAGGAGGGTGTTGACGGCAACGGAAAAGGGAGGTGGGAAGTGGCTGCCAGCCACGAGCGTGACGACCTCTTGCATCGCGAAGAGGAAACTGGATCGGGTGAACCGCCACTATCAACGACACGACGGGCTAGCTGTATTTCTGACGCGTCGTGCTCCAGCTTCAGGAGGAAACGAAGCCTCCAGGAGTCGTGGCCATTGTTCCCAGCATCGTGATCGGCCATTGGGGCCCTGCCCATCCTATCCTCTATCTCTCACCCTTCTCTCCCCTGACGCACGCACGTGGAAGAAGGTCTTCCGTTGGGAGCAGTTTGTTTGATTGTGAATTCCGAAACCCCTCGTGGGAAGGGAGATGGGCCAGACGGGCCAGACGGGACATCGAACGAACTGCTTGTCGGGGTATCTACTGTGTAAGGGGGTCATCGACGTCCAGGCCTAGGTCCAGGCTACAAGCTCTGAGCCGGGTGGGCGAAGGAGACTTTTCGTCCGGTTTCTCACCCCGGACAAGACGGAGAGAAGTTTTGCTGTTCAGGCCAGTGTCGACAAACTTTCTCTGTCTCTTAGTGGTTGTACGAAGGTATGTGGGAGTGTATGATCTCATGCGGCAGCGAAAAAGGGGTGGACGGTGACGGGTGGCTTGGGGGAACAGAAACGCAGGACAAGGGGAGGATAAGTCGGGACGGCAGCGGGCAGGCACAAGGAAGAGCTTGGGCAACCCCCCCGTATCCCGGAGTGCAAGACGGCCCAGAGGTTTCGACGTCACGCAGGGAGATCCCATCCCTGGGGAAAGGCAGCGGCGTTTCAGGATGTTGGTCTTGTCGTGGTTCACCTCGTTCAACTCCTTTCTGGCGTCTGCAGCTTGCAGATTCGTGTGGGTTCGAGATACGGGAGATACCTCGTGCTAGGCTCGCGTGAGTCTATCGACGGCTGGGTTTTCTTGTGTGCCTGGAGTACCTGGAGTTTAAAAGACAAGTGTGATGGCCAAGGGTTCCATGAGAGCCGATGGTCCGGTCTTTGATACGTGCGTTGCATCTCATCTAGAATGATGAGGGATGGCCATCTCGATGGCGGCGCCGTTGAATGTCGTGCTCAAGCCACGGCATTTGATCGATTGCGATGGGCCATGGGCACTTCGTACTCTGTAGATGGGTGGAAGAAGCAAGCAATCGTTTGCCTGGCCTGTCTGCTTCTTGCATCTTGGGACGTTTCGGATGAATGCTGAAGACTGTGAGGGTTTACCACCTGGTGAAACAAACGTGAAGTGGGGGCTGGAAAAGAAGCAGCCCTGTCTGACACTTGTGGCTTGACAGATACAGATAAAGTGTGGCTGGAAGATATGTGGCTGGGGAAGTTGCCGAGCTAACCGGCTGTGGCGGACCATCTTGTCCCACGTGTGGCTGAAGCTACCCCTCTACCTTAGTCCGAATGTGGCAAGTGCTACCAACAACATCACCAGAGGAGTTGAAGACATCAAATTTCTGGAGACTGGAAAGCTCCGCAAAGTCTGCCAAGTTTTCACACACATGTGGCGATCCCTTTTTGCAAAGGGTTCAATTCCTCTCAGAACAAGCTTCACCCGCCTCACGAGCCCCCAGAGCCGCGCAGCCGCCTTCGGCACCAGCACCGCAAAGATGGCGTCCACCACCTCGGCCAACAGAGACCCAAACACTCTGTCCAACTATGGCGCGTGGCTGACCAAGCACACCACCGCGAACCTGACCATTGACTTCAAGAACAAGTCTCTCAAGGGCTCCGTCACCCTCGAGCTCGAGTCGCTGACGGACAGCCAGAGCAAGGAGATCATCCTCGACTCGAGCTTCCTCTCCATCTCGGGCGTCAAGGTCAACGCCGCCACATCGGCGTGGGAGCTCAAGGACCGCGTGGAGCCCTATGGTGCGCCTCTGCACGTCTTTGTGCCTCAGGGCGCCGCCAAGGGCGAGGTGGTCAAGGTTGATGTCGACCTCGCTACGACGGATAAGTGTACCGCCCTGCAGTGGCTCACGCCCGCGCAAACGAGCAACAAGAAGCACCCCTACATGTTCTCCCAGTGCCAGGCCATCCACGCCCGCTCTCTGTTCCCCTGCCAGGACACACCAGACGTCAAGTCGACGTACAGCTTTGTCCTCGCCTCGCCTCTGCCCGTCGTCGCCAGCGGTGTCCTCGTTGAGGGCTCCGGTAAGGACGAGAAGAAGGGTGACGACACGGTCTACCGCTTCGAGCAGAAGGTTCCAATCCCGTCGTATCTGTTCGCCCTGGCATCGGGTGATATTGCCACGGCACCCATTGGCCCGCGGAGCATCGTTGCCACGGGACCTGATGAGCTGAAGGAGTCACAGTGGGAGCTGCAGAATGATATGGAGAAGTTCATGGAGGTTGCGGAGAAGCTTGTCTTCCCTTACCGGTGGGGCCAGTACAATGTTCTCGTTCTGCCGCCTAGTTTCCCCTACGGCGGTATGGAGAACCCGATTTACACGTTTGCGACGCCGACCATCATCAGCGGTGACAAGCAGAATGTCGATGTTATTGCGCATGAGCTGAGTCACTCGTGGAGTGGAAACTTGGTCACCAGCTGCAGTTGGGAGCACTTGTAAGTGGGAGTTCCGTGTGGTTAGTTGTGATAAAGGGGTAGCTGACGATGTGATTTAGCTGGTTGAACGAGGGCTGGACCACATATCTTGAGCGCCGTATCGGCATGGCTGTCCACGGTGACGCCGAGCGTGACTTCTCTGCCATCATCGGCTGGAAGGCTCTCGAGGACGCCGTCGCTCTGAACGGCGCCGACTCTGAGTTCACCAAGCTCATCATCAACCACAAGGGCATCGACCCCGATGATGCCTTCAGCACCGTTCCCTACGAGAAGGGCTTCCACTTCCTCTACTACCTCGAGCGCCTCGTCGGCATGGACGCCTTTGACAAGTTCATCCCCCATTACTTTACAAAGTGGTCCCGCAAGTCACTGGACTCGTTCGAGTTCAAGGACACCTTTCTCACCTTCTTCAACGGCCTCGGCGACGAGGAAATCAAGAGCAAGGTCGCCTCGATCGACTGGGACACGTGGTTCTACCAGCCCGGTCTCCCGCCCAAGCCCGTCTTCGACACCACCCTGGCCGACGTCTGCTACAAGCTGGCCGAGAACTGGAAGGACAATTCCTTCAAGCCCACCGCCGAGGATGTTGCCTCCTTCTCCGGAAACCAGAAGCTCGTCCTCCTCGAGACGATTGAAAAGTTCCCGAGCCCGTTGTCAGCTGACCGCGCCAAGCTGCTCGGCACAACGTACGATCTCGTCTCGTCGCGCAACGCCGAGCTCAAGACGGCGTACTACAAGATTGCGCTCGCCGCTGAGGACTCGTCTGCGTACCAGGGCGCTGCGGAGCTGTTGGGCCACGTTGGTCGCATGAAGTTTGTGAGGCCGCTGTTCCGGTCGCTGAACAAGGTTGATCGGGAGCTCGCGCTCAAGACGTTTGAGAAGAATAGGGACTTTTACCACCCCATTTGCCGTGGTATGGTGGAGAAGGACCTTGGACTTGTGTAAATAGATACTTTCTTACCGAATGGGTCTTTGACAAATAAAATGAGTAAACATATTTGAAGACAAGGGGGGTTTACTATGAGTGTGTGCGTTTTATGAAACAGCGAGTACACACATCAATAATGTGGTTTAATAGTGTACCGTCTCTATTGAGCACATTCTTGTGTTGGAGCGATGAGAGATGAGATAGAAAAATCCACGTACGATGTGAATGCTTCCTATTCTACGCCTGAGTGTTACGCAGGATAACGAGCGGTCTCGGTATAAGGCAAATTCCAGACGAGCGATCAGGCAAGTGCCTCACTAATGTCTCATTCACGATAATCTAACATCGCTGTCTGCCTTTACTGCTTCCCCTTGAAATGGGTACGAAGCCAGATCACATTAACATAATTATGATGACGACGTCTAGGTATATGATCGCGTTGCATCTTGCGAACGAGATGTTCACCATTGAGTTTTCCTAGGCACACAAAGAAAATATTGTTACAGACTAGTTTGGCGACACATGTCAAAATTGCAAACCACTCTCCATCGCCTTAGTCTCCTGCGAGAGCATCTTGTCTGCCCGTCCTTCTCTCTTCCCATTCTGCCTTGGCAGCTCACAGTTTGTGCTGGCGACCTTGAGACGTCATATCCTCCGGTGTCAACCTATCTTGGCTCTTTTCATTAAGATCTGCTCCATACTCCACCAGAAGCTTCATCATGGCAATGTCTTTTTGCTCAGTAGCAAGGAGGAGAGGTTTCGCCCCCCCCCCCCTTCAAGCTCTGTGGTTGCCAGCCGCGGCTCATTTTCCAGAAGAAATAGAGCAATGGTCTTACTCTTCGCCTTGATCGCTTCGTAGAACAACTTTTTGGAGTTTGCATGCTTAGAAGCCACTCGATCAAAGAATGAGCGAACAGCACTCAAGTGCCCACTTCTAATGGCGAGGTATAATGGCTCTTCATGCCCCGATTCGACCAAATCTGGCGCCGCATCCAGTAGCAGACGAACAATACGGTCTTGACCATATTTAGATGCAGCGCATAGCGGCGGTGGCTTTCTGGGATCTGCACCATGAATCAAAGCCATTTCGGCAATGTCTTGGAAGCCTGGTCGAGCTGCTCCAAGCAGAACGTCGTCCATAGTACGCGGCCCCACACTCCAGCTCTCCAGTAAGAGGCTCAGAGTCGATCTGTGGCCACACTCCGCAGCCAGTTCAAACAGCGAAATTCGTTGTGTTAAAGCCACATTCCCCGAAGCTTCATATTCCGATATCAAGTCCCTCACAATCTCTGTGAGCCCAAAATACGTCGCCAGATGAAGGCTCGTCCAGAATGGGAAGAAACTCTTGTCTGGCACTCTGTTCCTAATGAAGATGTTGGACATTCCCATCATCTCGGTGGCAGACTGGACTCTTCGGCTATCCGAAAAGAATTTTTTGACCACTCTGAATGATGTGCTTTCCCTCAACTTTTTTTCTTGTTCGAATGCTTGGAAAGCGTGACGCCCCCAGGCTATGGCAGCATGGGAAATGAAGGGATACTTCGTTAAATCATGCTGGAAGCCTGAATGTACGTCTTCGACGGTGTTTGTGAACCTTGTCAGGTATTCACAACAAAAGTATGCCTGATCTTCTGCTACCTTTGGAAACCATTCCGATTGGTTGTCGATGAAATATCCATATGCTGTAGGGTAAAAAATTCTGAGATAGCCGTCGCTATCCTGGATAACGAGTCCTGAACACCAGAATAGAAGCTTTTCCATGTCATCGAGTTGGTCTGGATCAAACTCTTTGTTTCCGAAGGTTGACACCCACAATTCGCCAGCCCAGAAAACGCCGATTCATATACTTAGTAGATCTCGAAGTTTCGAAGACACTCATACCAGACCTTTTTGATAAAAACTCCAGGTGTTCTACTAGCTTTTGGCTTTGATCACTTCTCAAAATGTCGTAGCCGTCGATCATGATGAATAGTCTCGAAACTTTACCCGCAGCTTCCACGAAAGCGTCCAGCAGAGCCCATAATGAAGGTAATTTTCCATCTTGTAGATAGCTCTGGCGAATGGCTTGAAGAAGCCTTGGTAATTCGGACACGCCTTGAAGCATTTGTCTTATGAGACTTCGAAGCATCGTCTCAGTTGTCCGGTTCTGACGTTGGGAGGGGCAGAAGTAATAAGCGACGCGAGCTTCAGGCGGATTGAATCGCTCTGTTAGATGATCGATAATCGCGGCTGCTAGAACCGACTTGCCAGCACCTGGAAGACCCGGGAGATAAATCATTCCTCCCTTAGGAGAGACCGAGATTTCATAATCCACCGATTCGGAAAACCAACTGAGGGTGCCTGGGGGCCGCTTGCCGAGATAGAATTCGAACTTCACCGTGTGGTCTTCTGGAGCCAGCCAGTCCCAAACTTCGCTGTGTGCGTCTAGCTTTGGTACATCATCCTTCTCTAGCTTGGACCCCAAACTTCCGCTGGCCTGGACGCCTATTATCCCATGTTCAGAGTCAAATGGGGGCAAAGAGCCTGCATCTGAGAAGGTTAGATTGACTGAGTTGAGAGATCCTACAGACCCTCCACCTTGAGCGACTTTTGAGCCGCTTTTCCTTGATTGATCATCATCTTCGTCGTTTCCTGTCTCTTGTGGTATCGAAAACAAAGCGAGTCGTTCCATGTGAGATGCCATATAGCTAGTAAGATCCTCTTCAAATGGGCCATGTGACATACAAAAAGGACACTCCGTTCTCAAGTCTTGTGTGCCAGTATGGGCGTGTTTCAAGATTTCCTGGACCTGGGTATTTCCTAGGGCGGTATGTGAGAGTTCAAAATGCCGTGCTAATTCGTCCTTTGTCATGAACAGATCTGGATGCTCAGAACACCTCCAGATCCTACGATGAACCTGAGACTCGTGGCCGATCCACGAGTCCCCCGTTGTGAACAAGTCTTCGGCACTTCTACAGTCTGAGTAGGTGCATTGGTAGGGTTGAAGATCTTGCATGATGTGATCCATGCGGATGTTATTAGTTGAGCTAGTCACGTAGGTAGTCATGAGATGGCTAACCTCCAATGTCTGCCTCTCGTGTCTCGCTCAGGGCAAAGCACATGGCAGTATGGGCATATGAACTCCGAATCCCTACTTGCTAACTTAGGGGGCTTCGGCAGATCAGTAGTTTCGCCTTCTTCACTATAATACGTCGAGTATGAAGTAGTGGACGAAGTGTCGGTCACATCTATCTGCGTTGGAATTCGGGTGGCTTCCGTTTCAGAAAGCATTGTAACACCCTTGGAGCTCGGAACCGCAATTGAATCCGGCGCCGTCGTTCGCAGGATCATAGGAGGTAAAAATGCTGGCTGAACGGCACTATTGTGGCCGGTGTCGGGGCTACAACTCGAATTTCTTGAGGCGCCGCTTCGGGATCCTGCTTAGCCAACTTCCGGGCGTGTCTTCGCCAATAAGCTAAAGTCCGACGTCTGACAGTGGTCGCTTTGCTCCAACGGTCAAGAAGTTTTATGTCTTTGTCTCTGAATATCGATGCCTTCTCATCCGACTGGTCCTCACCGTTGTCGACTTTGTCTGTGGTAGTCTCTCCAGCAGCTTGGGATGTAGAAACTGTTGCTTGTACAGTCTTCCTCAGCTGGATAACCCACTCCTCTACGTGCCGCCGATCAAAGACAGAGTATATTGAGAACACATCGATAGTGTTCATTTCTTCGTCTAGGATGAGCTCTTTATGCATCCTGGCTTTCTGTGCCGTTTGCGAATTCCTCGTCCAATTCCTCTGATCCGGAAAGAGACCTTGACCAGCGATGATATAATATCATCGATCTCGTCTGAGTTCTGACCCAATTCGGTTTGTGCAACATCACCAGTCTCTGACTCAAGCCCCTCAGAGCAGCTGCTGGAAGTAGAAGAGTCGTTCTCGTCTGCCTCAGCATGGCTTAGAGCCTCGATCAGAACGTTCTCTTTAAAAGGCTGCCGCTTTCCCTCGACAACTTCGATGCCTGGTTGTGTCGATCAGATGCTGCATCAAATAAACTCCTGTGATCATAGGAATATACTCTCGCTCATGGTTTTCTTCAACTCGTTCAGAAATTTCAAAACCACATTCTGCAGAAGAGGTGCGTCCATCAGACGGAAGTCGAGAGACGCCCTTCCGTGCAGTAGTCCGCCAAGGTTGACAGCCCATACTTTGAACCGATCGCGTTGGGCCACAGCCGTACTCCCATCAGAATGTTGTTTCGGATGCTCCAATGCCGCTATCAGATATCTGAAAGATTGCATGCATGCCCTACTGGCTGCCGCCACTGGAAACGTTGGAGGTCCTTCCATACTGCCTTTCAAGAGAACAAGAGACTGTTTGAAGCTTCACGTGAATAGAGGCTGCTCGAACCTCAAAAACAGAATTCCAGTCAAATCCTTGATAGGTAACCAGATATTAAGCTTCCGGGCTGTACACCATTCGAGCTTGCGAGGGAATCCTAAGTGATAGATTGCTTGTTGATGAGGCTTAGTTCCTCTCTGAATGCTGACATTCGGATGCAGTCGACAGGTGAGCATGTCTTATCTTTTACAAGTGACATGGAATTATGTTGTGTATGAACAGGCCGTGTCCAACGTGGTAGCTGGGAAAGACACGAAGCCAAAAGAGGGGTATTCAACAAATTCTCCCGATCGGGACTGCTGGCCACCTTAATGCCGCAACGTTGTCCACTCATGTTGGAGTTACTGCAAGGCTGTTGCGGCAGACAGTCATCGGAAGACATTCGAACGTCGCTTCACAACGAGACGCCGCTTCTTCAAATCCAGTTGAAGCCAGCGACTTCCGAAAACGACATCGAGAAGTTCTGCATGCCACCGAGTTCACGCCGAGTTCACACCGACCATGAGACTCATGGTATGCATCACACTTTCATATCTTGACTGAGAACGCACACTTCAGGCCTTGGGCAATGTCTCAGGATGGCCGAGATAGCAGGGCTCGTTCTCGGCGCTATTCCTCTTGTCATATCGGCATATGAGCACCGCAAGGCTCTTCTAGACTCTGCAGAGGCATTCTTCCATGGCAAGAAAGATTACGACAAGATCATACGACGATTGCATATAGAGTACGCTTCATATGACCAAAACATGCGTATACTGCTTATTCATGCTGTCAACGAAGAAGAATTGGATCATATGATCAAGAACTCACAACATTCTCTTTGGAAAAGCGAAGGACTCGCAATAATACTCAGAAGGGAGTTGGGAAGTGCTTATGGACCCACAATGGGATTGCTGGAGGATCTCAGTGATATTTTGGTCAGTATAGTGGCCAAGCTAGATATATCTGGCTCAGATAAGGTCAGAACCAGAAGCCTCGAACATGTTGGGTCCTCACTAAATTGCTCCAAACTAGGTAAAGCAACAAGGGCTTGCTATCATTGTCTCCTCCAACCCTCCTCAATCGAACTCACAGGATCTTCAAGAGCGTTTCAGGTTTGAGAAACGGCTTGAGTTTACCTTGAAGAAGCGGTCTGTGGACAAAAAGCTCCAAGCAATCAACGACTTCAATACCCATCTGCGTAATCTTTTGCAAGAAGCAGATAAGATCAATCAACTTCAGCAAGATGAAGGCTCGTGTAATAAAGCCCGCATCCAGTGGAACGATTCGGAGTTGCATTGCCGAAAATCGAGGAGAAGGTGTGGCTCGACATGGGAATCCGTGTTCTGGGTGAAAGCATTCCAGAAACTAGGTATCTGCGCAACCACCCTGAAGATCCTGAACTTCCCTGACCTTTGTAGTCCCAAAATACCAAAGATAAGATTTGCCGTACCGAGGCCTGTATTTCCACCCGATCCGCCGGCTCTAGAGATCGACGATACTTGCTCTTCGATTGCGGGAGCTATGTATCCACAGACTGGACTAGATTTGGATTCATCAGAGATCTTGCAAAGACTCTACAGGGTAGAAGCACAACAACGACATCTCGCTCAAGATTTAATGACGCTGGATACTTTCCTGACCATAAACACGATACAGTTAGGAATGGGAGACTTGTTATGCCTGGCAGTCACTCGCGTATCATCAGTGATTCAGCTTGGGAAAACACCATGGCTGTTACAACCATGGAGCCGGCACAACAGTGTATTTATACGTCTCAATAGAAACCCATCAATAGATGCCAAACACCCTTACTTAGCTTACAAGTACGAGACGGGTATGTTCACTACTATTATTTCTAGCGACTTGATTGTAGTCGCGCTAAGTCCGTAGTAGCTCAGGTTGGGCCTCCGCCCCAAGTATCTGACAGCTCCATGATTCTCTCCAGTCGTCAAAGGATGCTTTCTCTGGGCATTATGCTCCTGGAGATTCATTGCGAAAGATCATTAGAGAGCCTGATGGAGCAAGCCGATCTGGGCCGCGATGGCTTTCCGAACAAAGAAACAAGCTATACCACTGCATCAAGGGTACTTGAAGAGCGAATCAACGATGGCCAAGTATCTTTTGGCTTCAAAAGATCCATCGAGTATTGCCTTCACTTTTCTAGACAGCCAGATGCGTTCTTTGAGAATTCAACCTTCGTGCGGTCCATAGAGAAACACGTATTGGAGTCCTTGGAGCGTGAGATGCAACACTTCCTATTTGGGTGAGATTGCTAGGTTGGTCTGGGGGTCAGCTGTGTCACACAGAGCATTATTCCATGGTGGGTGAAATGTGAAATTAGGTGCATACAAGCCAAAATTCATTGGTGATTTATCACAAGTTTCAAGGTGCGTTGCTTAGGAAGATAGTTCGATGTTTCTAATTTATTTCCTTTGGATGTTCGGCGATGTCAAATGAATCCTTCCCGAATCAAACCTATCACAACTTCGACTGCTCCTGCATCGAAAGCTTCCGCAGCACCGGTCCAGCACGACTTCCATCTCCCGAGAACCTGAACGGCACCTCGCTACTCGTGGGCCGCTTCAGCCTCCACTTCTCCCGCAAGGTCGTAGACGGCTTACGCTCGAAGCTATCAGCAACCTGTGGTCCAATGGCCGGGAGGAACTTGAAAGCACTATTCCCTCAACATTAGCAAAGTGACTCAACAAGGGGCAGTCCAGCGGAAGTGAGGGGGGCAGAAACTTACTGTCCAGCACCACCAGTCGCAAAGAACAAGCCCTCGAAATCAGGGTGATAGTCCGCGATGAAGTCTCCCTCGGGGGTATCGGTATACCAGCACATCCTCTTGTAACACCATTCCCTCTCCGCAAACTCGGGAAAGAACAGCCTCACGCCCTCCCTCAAATCCTCATCCGCATCCTGCGGCAGATACCCAGACGCAGCGTTACTCTCCTTCAACCGCGGCGTCGAAATCGTCCTCTTCCCAGCCCCGCCCTCCTCGACCTCGACCTCGGTCGCAAACCCCCACCCATGCCTCGCAAGCTTCAACAAGTTCGTGCCCGGCGTCGGCGGGAAGCAGAACACACCCGTAGTCATGTTGATCATGACAGGCATATCCTTCACCCTCTCCGCCTCCTCAGCCGAAAGCTGAATGAAGCCCACAGGCTGCCCCGAAGCAGACATGGCGTGTCCCATGCCAGGAATAATCCGGTTCGTCCACGCCCCCGTCGCAAGAACAATCTTCTCCCCCGACAACGTCGTTCCCGCCGCCGTCCTCACACCCGTGATCATCTTCCCGGACCTTTCAAGTGAAACAACAGTCCCATGCCGCCCCGTAACAAACGACACACCCGCAAGCGTACACTGCCCCGCGAGCGCCCGAATCGCACCCGCCGCATCAGCCCACCCGCCCACAGCATTCAACGTGGCCGTGAAATCGCTCAAGTCAGCCTGCACGCCCGTATACCGCTTCTTCACCTCCACATCCACCTGCGGCGGCGCGAAAAACTCCTTGGCCGGCCGCCCGCCGCTCTCCCACTTGCGGAACTTGTCAAAGTAGGCGCTCGGCCCCTCACGCTCGTCGGCCATCATGACGAAGCCGGCCTCGTGGTAGTGCGGGCCGAACAGCTCCGACGTCTGCCAGCCGCGGAGGGCGTCCGTGGCGAGGGCGGCGTAGTGCGGGTCTGCGTACTCTGTGCGGATGATGCGCGAGACGTCGACGGAGCTGCCGTCTGGCACGGGGGGGAGGAAGCGGTCTAAGACTGTGACGGAGGTATAGCCGCGGTTTTTTGTGAGTTCGTAGGCGAGGGAGAGGCCGAAGACGCCTGCGCCGACGATGAGGATTGGTGAGTCTTTGGATGTCATTGTGGGCGTGTATAAGGGGAATGACACAGGTAGTAAAGTATCGTGGGAAAAAGGGAGACCTCTACAGCGTTCCGCTTCTAGAGTATCAAAGTGAATACTAGAAGAGTGAGCTAAAAGAATTTATCTCAAAGTGAATTAGTTCCTAACGATGTGCGACTCTCGCCATATTATACCTATCAACTTATCTCAACAATCAACGTCGGCGCAAGGTCCGATGGGATGCAAACCGGAGTGGGGACGGACCGGTTTCCGTACCCACATTTCACAGCCGGGCGGGGGCTGCGTGGAGTTCTTCGCAACTCGCAAAGCAAATGGGAATTGAAGACAACGCCCATCAAGGTGGGATCCGTTGGGCCCGATTGCCAATCTGGTGCCATGCCGTCATGCCGGGCTTCCGGAGTCGGAGGTGTGGGGACTGGTTTTACGGGCCTCTCTGCAGGACAGGCTGTGCTGGTCCGTTGGAGCTCCCCGGTATGGGTCCGGTCCCGGGGAACGGTTTACCTTAGGTAACATGTTGATGCAGCATGCTGCTGCTCCCACAACCAAGAAAAGCGACGAAACCGTGATAGAAGGCATGTAGTGTCAAATAGTAAACGAACAATTCATAGACGTGCTACCGACCCTAACCCATTCTGAATAGGTACACCGGCTGACCAATTGAATATCCTTGCCTAAACACTTCACATCAATTCTACACCCGCCCCCCCCTACCTCAGCATGCATCTCCCTCTTTTCTGTCGATCAGTGAAACTGATCCTCCGTCACGCCCTTACCCATGGCAGCGGTACTGCTGATACCGCCAGTAACCATTTTCTGTAGCTCGTCGACGTACGTCGCACCGCTCCACTTTTGGTGCTTGACGACGTCGACGCCCGAGTCCATCTCGGGCTCCTGCACGAGTTCGCCGTACGCGCGCATACCCTGTTGGCTGTAGGCCTTGGCAAATTTGTCGCTGATGAGCGCCGTCGTGTGCAGGCCCGCGAGGGTGATGAACTGCCAGCAGTAGCCGAGCGACGCGAGGCGGCGGATGTACGTCTCCTGCTCGGCGCGGGGCATCGCCGTCTTCCAGTTGAAGGAGGGCGAGAGGTTGTAAGCGAGCCTAGAAAAAAAAGCAATAGTTAGTTAACCGTTTCTTGACGAGGAGGATTCGTTCTTCGCTGGCTGGACTTTGACTTACTTTTGCTCGGGCCAGACGGCGTGGACGCCCTTGGCGAACTCCTGCGCCTGCTTGAAATCGGGCAGCTTGCTCTCCATCCAGATGGCGTCGCAGTAGGGAGCGTACGCGATGGCGCGGTTGATGGCACAGTCGCAGCCGCCCTTGAGGCGGTAGTAACCCTCGCGCGTCCGCGGGGAGTCCCAGTCAAAGTGGATGTCGGCACCGAGAATGCCCTTTGCGATAGCGCGCGCCTCGTTGTTGCTCTTGCCCTTGGCGGCGGCGGTGTACTTTTGAATCAGGCCGTCCTTGTTGGACACGGGCGCGGCCTTGATGGCGTCGACGACGGCCTCGTCGAAGCGCTTGAGGTTGGCCTGCTTCAGCCAGTTGTCCTCGATGGCCTGGAGCTGGTCGCCCGTCTTGCCGGCGAGCTCGGCCGCGATCATGAGGTCGTTGAGGGGCTGAAGGCTCGGGTTCGTGGAGCCGAGGATGAAGGCGTGGTCGCGGGGATCGATGTTGGTGCTGAGGAGGGTGGCGGCCTCGGCGTCGGTGCGGGCGACGGCAACGAGGTTGGAGCCCATGATGTCGGCCTGGGCGCGGATGGCAACGAGGCGGTTGATGTGCTCCTGGATGGGGACGAGGACCTTGCCGGCCATATGGCCGCACTTCTTGGTGCCGGGGGCCTGGTCCTCAATGTGGATGCCGGCGGCGCCCTTCTCGATGAAGAGCTTGGTGAGCTTCATGACGGCCGTGAGACCGCCGTGGCCCGTGTCGGCGTCGGCGATGATGGGTCTCAGGTAGTCGATGTTGGCGAGCTTGGCGCGAGCCTCTTTGGAGACGCTCAGGCGCTCCTGGCGCTGTTTCCGGTCGTGGAAGAGCTGGGCCATGAACAGGTGGGCGACCTTGTTAGGTACGGTGGTCTGTGAGGAAAGGTTAGCCATGGAATGACAGCACAATTTGTTGTGAAGGTGAGCAACTCACGTAAGGGTAATCTGCCAGATCTGGGCCGGGCTCGTCCGAGGCCGAGGCCGTTGACGATGATTGCCAGCCAGATACGTAGACGGTGTCGAGGTACTTGGCCATCTGGGTGACCATTGTGGGCTCCAAGCAGCCGTAGGTGTAACTGGCATCCTTGTTCTTGAAGCGGTTCTCGAGAATCTCGAAGAGCTTCTTGGACTGGGCGTTACTCGGGTATTCAATCTTGAGGTGGCCTCTCTTGGAGACAATTTGCTCGGCGGTGAAGGATCGCTTAGTGTTTCTCCATCGTGGTTCGCTCCACCACTTCTTGACTTGCTCGACCTCCTTCTGGAAGAGGTCATCCTCGATATTCGGGTTCACGGCGTTGTTAACCATGTTGCCGGAAGCCATGATGGGCAATGTGTGACTTGAAATGTGTGGAAAAGATGAAGCTATTCCGACAGTTTGTAGCGTAGGAGATTTCTCTGCGAGGGTACGCTTCGAGAATGTGGGTATGTGAGAATCGAGATTGGACAGGAATACCTGGATACTTGGCAGGCCAGGAACAAGACGATATAGCACCAGACTAACGATGCTATTCACAACTCAATTGACAAGTGATCAACGAGTTTGAGGGAAGAGTAGAAATGCTTGGAGGGGTAGAAGAGGAGGAGAAAGAAAGTCAATCTTGGAGGAGTCACAAGCAAAAAAAGAAGAGGTCAGGGCAGAGCATAAGAATAAAGAAACAAGTAGCCAAGCAGAAGCTAGGCCATGGCCGCCATCGGCAGTGTTCGGCCAAAAGGCGTCCCTGGACCAATCGTCTTACATCTGTTTCGAGGCTTGTACCTCTGACCTCTGGCCCAGGCCAGTTGACGGACAGTGTGAAGAACGTCAACGCGGTGAGAGTGACTCGCCAACCCCTCCATTCGCCCAGCCAGTCACATAGGGTTGTAGGCATGGGGAAGCATAAGGAGAGAGTGTGTCTATGGTCTTTGGTAGGGCGAACGAAATCTTGGCTGGGTGCCAGGACCGTGGGTAAAACAAACCTCGGAAGCTGAAAATAGTTCGGAACAGGCTCCTGGAGCAAGTACCAGATACTTCTGGATGGCCCTCCTCTCCTCGTGGTCTGTTCCGTAGAGAGGAGGATAGGTAGCGGTGGCGTCGCACCGGTTCTCCTTGTTGGTGTGGGGGAGCGGAATGAATGCTCTGCTCTGCTGTGTATGAGTGAGTGAGTGATGGACTCATACTGTAAGTAGGTAGGTATGGATAGGTAGCTGAGCGTCTGACAATCAATCTGTAAGTGTGAGCATTGAGAGATAGAAAGGGGTGACGTCGGGCGAGAGGTCTGGATTCGGCTCAAAGGGGAAGACGGATTTGGGGCGAAACGCAGCCAGTCTTTCCTCATTGCCGTCATTGGCCGAGTTGCCGAAGCTCCTTGCATGTCCCCCGCCGTGCCCCGCCATACCGATGCCCTCTCCCGCTACCGTACCGTACCTGGAGCCTGGGGAAAGCAGCCAGCAGCATTAGCAGCAGCCGGGCCATGGGAAAAGATTCTGCAACCCGACTGCACGCAGTTCCCGTACGTCTGCCGGCCCCCGAGATTCTGCAACGCCATGTTCCGTCTGGTCTGTTGTACTCGGTGATCCAGCTCGTCTTTTTTCTCTCTCTCATTTCTTCATTAGCATGTAATTGCGAAACAGATAGGTAATTCATCAGACAATAATAGTTAGCGTATAGAGTACAAAGGTCGAAGCTGCTGCCACTTGCCCCAAATTCTTTGCGCGGGGTAGCGGCTCTCGAGCATGTGAAGAAACTGTACCTGAGTCGGCAGCCATTCCATTGGCGCCGGCTTAACCCAGAGCTGATCACGCTTCCTGGCGTGCGTCACACTTTCCGGCCTCAGCTTCTCCAACTCGGGGGAAACTTGGAGAGATACCTCGGCCCTCGACACCCTACTCTGTACTTCTCGCCGAATCCAGCCGCCGTTGCGAAGATGCTTCCGGAATCTCCCTACCCTCTTCAAGTCATTCAATAGATCCTACACAGTACATCAATGTCAGTCACATGTCCTGCTTGACCTCACACCACACACCACACACCACACACCACGCACCACGCACCACGCACCACGCACCACGCACCACGAGCCAGCCTCTTGCCACACCTCTTGAAAGCTACATGAGGCTTGACGAACCTACCTGCTCTCACGGAACTTGTCCGATCGACACGTGCCGAACACATCCTTCCCGTCGCTTCGTCCCATATCACCATCTTGTCACGTCAACTTTTACAAGTTTGGATCGCATTGGGTGGATATCTGCTTTGGCTTTGCAGCCAGTCTAACCTCTTTCAACAGTCTTCCAGACCCTGCCCATTCCTTCATTCGTGTCTCTTATTGCAGTCAACCTGCATGGTCATGCATCTTCCATTTAACGTCAGTCCTTTGCAAACTCCTTTCCCAACCTTCAATATCCGACGTGCCGCGGCAAGATATGAGAGCAAATGCAGACCCCTCTCGAGGCCAATCCAATTCGACGACCAAGACTCGACTCGACAACAGGTCCTGTACCGTTTTTACCAGCTTTTCGTCGTGCTTTTGATGGCCTATCGTATGCGTTATGTGTAGCTTGGTCTCCCGACCATGACAGAGCCACTCAGAGAAGCTCGGCAAGTTGCTTCTCATTGTTCTCTTCGATAGCCTTCACAAAGGTCTCATAAGGGGTGAGCGTTCCAAGAGCACGGCGCATGTGTGCATTGACGATTTGCAGTCCATAGACGTAGCTGGCGTTGACCCATCCGAATCTAGTCTTTGTCAGTAGATTGATCACAGAGTATCACAGATACAGACGACATACCCTTCCTTGGCGACACCCTTGAAATCGAGACCCTGGTTACCATACTCGGCATCGACCCTGTGGGGATCAATTGGTCGAGTAACGTCGTACTTCTCGACAACCACGCCGTTGAAGTCAACAAAGGCCTTGGTCATCATGAACAGCCACTTGTACGCCAGACGCTCGGCCTCATCAGTGAAGCTGTAGCGAACAAGTCCAGTCCAGGCAAGCATCTGCTGAGGAGCCCAGCCGTAGGGGTAATCCCACTGGCGATTAGGGCGCTCCAGGCCAACTTCACCCCGGGACTTCTTTGTGCCGGACAGCAAACCGCCGACAGCCTCGAACTTGGGCAGTGCCTGCTGTACCATTGCTGCCGCTTGCTTGGGAGATGCCACACCTGCCCACAAAGCCCAGAAAGTGGTGCAACTCTCGTAGTCACACTGCTCCTTCTTGGCGGTGTTGTAGTCAAAGTACATACCCGCCTCCTCGTTCCAGAGGTACTTGTCAATAGCAAGCTTTCTGCGCTTCGCCCGGCGGTCCCAGATTGCCGAAGTAACCACTTCGCCAGCCTTGAGCGGTCCAACAGCGAATTCGTCGGGGATGACGAGCTTATCGTTGAAGACGTTTCGAATAGTGCGGGCAATGTCAGTCTCGTACTTGAAGAGAAGTGAGTTCAAGTCGATGGTCGCAAGATCGGCGCAGATCTTCTCCAGTCTGTAGGAGGTGTCGTGGCCAGACTCACGCACAGCTCGGTCGTGCAGGAAGTAGTCGTCCAACTCCGGCTCCTTGATCTTGCCGTTGTTGTAGGCCTGGACGAACTCCTGCCAGGTGATGCCATGCTTCTCGGCATAGGGCTCGAGGATGTGGACGAAGTGGTCTGCTTCCGTCTCAGGGGGAACACCCAAACCTTCAGGTCTGTATCTCGAGAGACCAGTCACGGGGTCCAAACGAGGCTCGGCGACCCAGACACTGTGATACTCCTTGATGGCGGCGAGCATAGATGTGCGGAGGAATTCCTTGGCATCGGGCTCGTGCTTGATCTTCTCGTATACGCGAAGGGCCATGTCGGTGAGGAAAGGGGGCTGAGAACGGCACAGGTAGTAGGAGCGAGTGGCGTTGAGGACTTTGCCGTAGTGACGGATACAGAAACAGAAGTTCTGCACCATCGACTTGGCGAGATGGACCTTGTCATTAACCAAGAGACCAAGGGACTCCATGTAGCTATCCCAGCCGTAAAGCTCGTTGAACCGTCCGCCCGGCACCACAAAGGGAAGACCCCTGAGTGTGTCCTCGCCTGTCTTGGGATCCTTGATCTTCTCCATCTCAACAGCGAGAAGGCCAGGCTTGGCATTCATGTCGCGAACCAGCTCGGGAGTGATGACCTCGGGAAGCCTGACAACATCCAAACGGATCTCTGGGCGATCTTGAGCCACCTTGGTGTAGAACTCGAACTGTTCCGGAGCTCCAACGGGAACATAGATACGCGGGCGCGGGTCATCAGTCCAGTCCTTGGGATCTCTGGCCGCAATCTCCACGGTCGAGGCATCAATTCTTCTCGTCAATCCCTCCCAAAAGTGGTCCTTGATAAGTCTCGACAATCGGTTCACGGGGTTCTCGTTCAGGCGGCCCTCGTCGAGGATGATCTGTTTGCGGCCGTATTGTTGGGCAAGGGACAACTCTTGCAGCAGGTTGGAGAGCATGTAGGTTCCGCGGACATCGAATCGGTTGTGGCCCGCGGAGGCAGCGGTTCTCAGCGACCAGACCTGGGTTGCATCAGTATCAGCTTCGTTGTCTACTCCTGGACAGTAGGCGACGGCCATGGGATCATAGACATACCTTGGGACCATTGTCCTCAATGGTGATTTGCATGTTTCCATCGGTATCTTCTTGAGCCTGCAAGCTCTTGAGCGTCTCGTCTACTTGAATGAGGAACTTTCGGTTCGCAAGGATGGAGGACTCGTCTGTAAGATTCGTAGGTCAGCACATCAACAGCGCAGAGGGGTAAGAGAACAGTGAGCAGGAGTGGACTGACCGTGACTGCCTCTTCGGAAGGGCTCGCGAAGTCCCATACGCTCGAATTGTTGGAACAAGCTGTTCTAGAAGAGTTGAAAAAAAAAAATAGGAGTCAGTATGTACCACAACTAGAAATGGGTAACAACAAGCGGTCAGGCAAGCGGTATCGGCGGGCTGGTTAACGTACCTGTGAATAGGTTCTGGTTCGAGGTCCAGCACGGTTGACATGGCGCTCCTCTGAGGTATAGTAGGTTTTCGCATCGTCGAAGACACCATTGCCTTGGTCTTCGCTGCCGCCACGAGGGCGGCGTTGACTCGTCGGAGAAGTCATTGTGCGCGAGTTAAGCGGGGTCGTTCGCGGCGATAGCTGGCAGGATCGGGAACCGAAAATAGTCAATTGCTCGCCGTGGAAGGTAGGTCGCTGGATCCGTACTGAGTGAGGGTATACGCCGAGCTGGCCGTAATCGAACTTGTAAGAGTATCGAACGAAAGGAAGAAAAAGATACTCGACGGCGTGAGAATTGGGGCGGTGTAGGGAGTTGACTCGGTGAGAGAATGGGGGGAAATTGATGTGTGTAGGAATCCGTGTCACGAGGACCCCAATGTGAGTGGGAAGAGACAAGGGCGCGGCGCGGGATGTGTTGGCTGATGCGGTCTCAGGTCTTGGGCCAAGCAATCAAGGTACCTCCGAATGGCAGGCGCAACAGGCAGGAAAGGAGGTAATAGATAGGCGGGAGAGGTGTCGGTCGGTACGGGTAGGTAGGGTTGCAGCTGAAGCAAGGTACACAGCTTCCTGCAGCTGACGGCCAACAAGTTAGCACACTTTTGCTCTTTTGCTCTTTTTTTGGTACCTTACGTTTGCAGAATGTGCGCTCGTTCTACAATAGGTGATGCAACACTTTTTCTCCGACGTGGGACGGAATGGCTTTTCGGAGATGCTAGAGTGAAGTCGTGCGGGTTACTCTGTCGCGTCAGTGTGTTTTGTGTGTCGTCATAGGGAAAGAACTCCAGAGATACGAGAGCCTTCACCACGCTTCTTGTGTGAAATCAGGTTCCAATTCTTTAAATGGAGCCAAGTCGGGTCCCAATGACGCTATCGTGCCAGACGTTGCTTTTCCAGCGGTCTCCCCCACGCCCGGTCCCCCATCCTTCTCGCCTCGCTGCACGCTGCGGTGAGAGGTGCCGGGTAAGGCGTGGGCCAGGAACCTCTAATCAGCCAATCAATCGTCTTCGGGCCATCTCCGATCCGCCTCGTTCTCTCGATCCAATCAAGCCCGGCCGTTCCCCGCTCCAGCTCTGTGTCACGTGGATCCATCTGAACCGTCGGCCTAAGCTTTCCTGCCTGCTGTATTACCACAATTCGAGGTTTACCAGTGATACTCAGGCAAAAGATATTACAAAGCCCTAGGCTCGCTCAGCTCACACGTTCGTGACATTGCAGTCCAATTGAGCCTCGTGCGGCATTCCTCAAAACACCTGCATCGGCCTCCGTTGCCCGGTGGAATATGGTTCAAGTTGGGGTAGGAATGTGTACCCCGCGGACTCTGAGACCCTTGAATATGGCGTCGCTTCATCCGGACCAAGCTCCTCCAAGAACTGTCAGCGGAGATTCCGCCGCCAGGGTTCCCATCTTTGCTTTTTCTTTTG